ACGGAAGTTAGAGCAACCACAAACATTCGAATGAGCGTACATACACACATACAGACATTTTGTAAAAATATATTTTTCTTACGTTTTAAAACATTTTAAACATATTCCCAAAGAAAACTGGAAAAAAATTTTTTTCACGAAAACAAAGCTTCCTCTATGAGGAAGCAAAAGATAATCAATAATTACCTTATCGATCATTTATTATCTCTCGACCAAAAATTATAACTGGAAAGGAGGTTTTAGGAGTTTATTTTGAAAAGATTGCACTAGTTTGTAAGGAATTTTAAAAAATGAATTCTTTTTTACTTTATTTAACGACCATGTGCTATTTACGAAAACAGTATTTGTCGTTATTTAATTCCGCAAATATATGAAAAGATAATCAATAATTACCTTATCGATCATTTATTATCTCTCGACCAAAGTCTCTGATCAAAGTAACAAAGTAATTTACTTAATTGAATAAATATCAATATATTTTTGCGACTTCGTCCTCAGAAGTGTATTCTCGATATTGCATTATTTTAAATGCTTTAATTTTTTTTCTAAATAACAGCATTTTCGAATGTTTTCGAAAGAATGCGTTTTATTTAGACACCCCTGTATATACTAGGATAATGCGTAATCCAAGGAGCTATAATGTCTAACAATTTGACAATTGACATTTGACATATTTAAATCAGTATGTATCTTCGCACAGTCAAGTCCGTGTCGAGAGCAGATTATGCAAAGAGTCTCCTGCAAATATTGTCGGTGATAAAATTTTATGACAACAATAATATCGACAAAAGTCTGATAAAAATATAAAGTTTTAATAAAATATGATGTGGTAGAAAAATTGGACAATGTTTAACACAATTTTATAGCAAATAAAAACTGGACAAATCTTACGTTCCACATATCATTTAATCCTTTCACTTCTCATTTCCTTTTAGAAAAGAAATACATCTAGTTTCGTTATTTTTAATGATTTTTTTATACTGAACACGAATATGAAATTAAATGTAAATGTTTGAAACAGATCCAACACATTAATGTAAACACGGTTAATGTGAAAACTGGAATATTTTCCAAATCTAATAAAGTGGTTTATTACAGAATTGTTGGTCATTCAATATAAATATGTATTATATTAAAGTGCAAAAGATTTAACATGGTAGATTTAGAATGCAAGAAATAAAATCTTCTTAAATATTAATTAAAGTATATCGATAAAATGTATACATATTAATAAGAATTGCAAAGTAAAGTCCACATTTTTTATCCAATCTTTATCGTCTATCATGCTTATCTAACTTTTGTCGGTAGAAATCTTTTTTTTTAATATTTACAATATTATGTACAGAGATCAATATTTGTTAGGACTGCAAGATGTAGGCCTCTGTGAGAAAACGTGAGAAATGATGCATGAAAGATTGGTTTATAATAAAAAATCGGATAAAGAAGCAACTAAAAACAACTTTACGGAGACGCGGGGACAAGTGTACTAGTGCAGGATGACAACGTAGGGGTTGAGTCGCTTATATTTTATAGAAAGAGGCAAAGTGTGCGATCAACAGATTTATTTGCAGTGGGCAAATAAATATTAGACATATGCATATAATAATAATGTTAACTTAAAAAGTAGTTTATATAGTCGATAGAAATCTAATACAAGTTTAGCAAGAGTCAGTCTTAAAATATAATAAAATCACCAAATATGACTAACGAAATGCTGATGCCTCTTTGGACCCTCAAGAGGTAGACGGACTAGCAATGTTTACGAATCATTTTAAAGTTATGGTACATACTACATAGCATATAAATATAAGACGGTGTAGATTTAGTGGCATTTTGCACTACAATTTTGTCAAATTTAGGAAGGGCGTTTCCTTCAGCGTATGATACTGTTGCTTGGTATAATTTCAAAAAAGAAAAGGAAATATCAAATAGAAACGAGAACTGAGCTGAACTAAGCTGAAGGTTGCTCGGACCTAAGTAATAATTTGGAGTTCTCGTTTCTACTCGATTTATATCTAGAGGTCCTGATTTAACGTTAAAAGGGAATATATTTTGTTCAGTCACAACTTATTAAGGCAAAATATAGCTTGTTTTTAATTTTCAATTGATAAATCCTCCATGTGAGGGTTAAAAGATAGCATTATGATACAATAAAATGACAGTGTGGATATTGAATAACATTGCGATCATTCACGAGTACAAAATACATGCTCATGCTGTGATACGAGCTCGATACAATGTACAGAATTTATAAAACGCGTCGCTTCATTTATGTACTGTAACTTATTGTTAGTATACATATATACAACTATAAGATGCGCTTCAATATGTACAATTTCATATTCTTCCGCTCGTCAAAAGTCTTTGGCCAATACTTGATCGACTTCTGTTCAACGATTCAACTCCCTTTGTATTTCGTCCAGCGTCTTGCCCTTGGTCTCCGGAACTAGGAAGTAAACGAATAAGATGCCGACGGCGGAGAATCCCGAGAAAATCCAGAAAGTGCCGAAGTCGTTGACGGCGTAGACCATGTCGGTGTAAAATTTAGTGACTACAAATGCCATGAGCCAGTTGAATAGACAGGCGCTGCTCCCGGCGACTCCCTTCACCTCCGGCGCAAAGATTTCCGGCATCATCATCCACGGGATTGGTCCAAAGCCGAAGGAAAATAGTACGAGAAAGATGCAGAGCGGAATAATCGCGAACCACTTGATATTGTCGAATGCAGTGGTGTACGTGATACAATAGAAGTAAACTCCAAGGATCAGCATCATTAGGAACATCACTGAGATCGATGCCAGCAGTAAAATCCTCCTACCCAGCCTATCGACGACAAGAGTGCCGAGGAAAACCGATACTACTTGCACCGCACCTACGATGATAGCAGCTACATTGGGCTCTATGGAGGCTCCGGATCTCGTAAAGATGGCCGAAGCATAAAAGATGATGGAGTTTACGCCACTCATTTGTTGGAAGAGCATCAACCCATAAGCGATTACAAAGCCTTTCTTGGTGGCCTTGGATTTGATCGAAACTGCGAACGACGTAGCGCCCCGACTGCTTTCTTCAAGTGCCTGACGGTGCTCCTGCAGCTCTGTTTCGATGTCATATTGACTGCCACGAAGCCTGAGCAAGCTTTTCCTGGCGGCTTCTTCATTATTTTTCTTCAAGTAGTACACTGGCGTCTCCGGCATGAAGAAGAACGCCGCGAAAAAGATCAATGGCATGATCGCGGAGATAATCGACAGATGTCTCATATTTTCGACCACGGCCCCGAGGACGTACGCGGCCAGGATACCTATGGTGAGCATCAATTGGAAGTAGGAGCCGAGCGTGCCGCGAATCTCCTTCTCGGATATCTCCGACGTATACAGCGGGGCAGCCACGCAAAAGGCTCCACTACTGACGCCCGTAATGAATCTACCGAAATAGAACATGAGTACGGATTCCGCGAAGATGATGAGTAGCCAACCAAGGGTGAAGGGAACTACCATGATCAACATGGCGGTCTTTCTCCCGATCAAGTCCGCGAGCATGCCGATGGGAATGCATATCGCACCCGCTCCGAGAGTGGTGAGTGAGCCTATCCAGGAGAACTCGGTCGGGCTAATTGGTATGCCGTAAGTGGCGGCCAGCTTCACCCCGTTTTCACCGGCGGGAGACGTCCAACCGAGCACCATACCAGCGGCGAGGGCGCCGAGCGTCGCCGCTATGCCCGCCAGGTACTGCGGGAGCTTCTTAGCCTGACCAATCTGCCCGTTAGAGACCAAGGTCTGCTGCGAGATACCAATCTTCTCGGCCATGGCTTGACCGCTCGCTGACAATAGCGGCGTACTCTCGTCGGTCTGGAAAAGAAACGTTCATTTCAATGGTAATACTGAATCGTAACTTTCCAATCTATCTCTTGCGAGACAATTTGGAGCACAAGGCAATTTTATTTCTATAAAACACTTCGTGACTGCTATCTTTCAAATCAACTATATAGTCAACTTATATAGAATATTCTGTAGTCGATATCCCTGTTTAAAATATTAGATAAAATATGATCAGATTTCATTAGACAAATAAGAGTCTCATTAATTTACATAGAAATTGCATGTAATCTAACGTAATCTAATTCTATCTGTTATTTTGAACAGAAATAGCTTCTACTCGAGAATGACGTTCCCTAAAATGTTGCTTGACACTGCCTCATCCCAGATAGCACAAGACACTCCTATGAACATTTTAAGAATATCCTTCAAGAATATTTGGAACATTTCATAGCTCATTTTTATATATTTATCTTATGTTCGTGGCACATTCGACTGGCACTACTATAAATCTTTCTCGAATGTGAATAGAATAATCTATCGAATATGGCGTGTTAGTTATATATGGTAGGATCACAGGTTTCTCTGCCTTTTGCGTAAGATAAGTATATTACACGATAAACAAGGTGTAATACATAAACTGGATGAATATTAAAAAATTATTCTAGACGAATATTCCAAAGACATTCTCGACGAATATTCTAAAAACGTTCTTCTTTGTTATGAATATACGATTTCTAATTGTAATAATCTATATAGATTTATAGAATATTCGATTTATGGAATATTCTGAAATTAAGAATGTTTGCACTCCAGAAGAATATTCATAGAACTATGTGTGCTATCTGGGACATGGCAAATTGCTAGCTAACGGTGTTCACAGGCGAGAAATTGAAAACCCATACAGCACACAACTGTTGAATCAACATTTCGGAAACGTTCCATTACAACACTGCATCAATGTCACGAAATGTAGATTCAATGTTGAAAAGATATTGCAAAAACGCCCAATGTCCGCTGAATTGTAATGTCTTGTAAACGTTACGACGAATATTCTAAAAACGTTCTAATTGTAACAATCTATATATAATTTATAGAATATTCTGAAATTAAGAATGTTTGCACTCCAGAAGAATATTCATACAGCTATGTGTGCTATCCGGGATGCATTGAAATCTCTTCCTATTCTCTTTTTGTGCTTTGAGGATAAAATTGTGACAAAGGAGAAAATGAGAGTCCAAAAACTTTGTTGTAGCATCATTTCGCCAGCGTCTAGAATGTTAAATGGACAAAGCAGGTGCCGAGAGTGTGCTGAAGAATACAGAATTACGTACGTTGGAGCATGCTGCTGCCGTATTTTCGGCGTCCCACACAAAATCCGTCGACATTTTGCAAACCCTTTTAAGCTACTCTAATCGAACAAAGAAATGCGACAGCCTATCGGTTTGACATTCCAGCTCGTATAACCGTGTCGATTACCACGGTTACTCACGACGCACTAGTCAACATATCAAAGTCATTCCGTCATCATACTCCTTGGACTACTTTGCACCTTTTACACCTCGCGCTCTTTCTTTTCTCGCCGGCCAAACGATACGTTTGTCTCGTTTCAATTGTAAAAAGTGCCGAAGGACGTTAAAGAGACCCACAACCAGGGCCGTTTTGACCGCGTGTGCAGAGCGTGCGCCGTACACGGACGGCAGGACACAAGGGGCGGCAAATTTTTGTCGAAAGTAAAAATTTTGATAGAATACAACAATGCCTTGCTTTTCAAATTCTTGCGGGGAAACAAGGCATCAAAACGGTATCTAAAGATATTGCGACCCAGTAACGTTGCGGTATTTCAAATTCGTTTCCAGAACTAGAAATTGACAAATATAAAATCCTTTATGAAAAACATTATTGAAAATAAATTTGAAATGCTAAAATTAGTATTTCAAGTATAAGGTTGACTGATATTATTACTAAATTATCACCAAAGAACAATTTGAAGATATCGGATTATGTAAGGAAACTACAATGCATATAATCACACGAAAAATTGACTGCCGTTTGTCGATTATAGGAGGTCGGCGTATCTTTCACTGGATACTTGTATTTTATGTCAAATGAGAAAGCGCTTTATGTCAAAAGAGAAGCCGCTTTATATAAAAAAGAACTGCTTTATTTATTGATTCTATAAGAAGAAAATTGTCCCGCCTTATCCAATTTAACAAAATAAATTTTGATTTATTTAAATTCAGCACAAGGGAGGGGGGAGGGGCGGCAATTATTCGGGCTGGCACACGGGCGTATCAATGCTTAAGACGACCCTGTCCACAATGAAACATTGGAATCACACTTGACATCTACCGGCGGCGGTAAATATTAATTACGCATCACGGAAGTAGATAGAGGATACCGACTGTGACATTGTTTAGTCTTTTTAAAATTTTTTAAATTTCCCGCGCAGAATTTCGGTACTCGTGTTGGGTGCAAGATTAGGAAACGATAGTATGCACATCATTTGTATAAACAAAAGTTGCGTTCGAGTTGTTTTTGAATGCACGTCGTATACCTATTTGATAAAACCGAATCCCAGCGAGAACATTGTAAGTCAAATGGGGTCGAAACCGCGTTCCAACCGTCAGTTTTTGAAAATAATTAAGTTTTGGAGCTCCATTTTTTGTAATAAATTACTACGTTCGACGTTCCGAGTACTTTTAACATTTTATAGGAGAGAACTGCCAAGTTAACTTATTTAATACAAAAAATAAAGTTCCAAAACTTTTAATTATTTGACAGTTGGAAAGCGATTTCGACTCCATTGGCGTCGATTCGACGTTAGCGTTCGTTGTTGTTTATTTATAAATTTAATTTATTGAATTTTTTACTTATGAAAAGTTCTAAAGGCCTGTTGTCCACGATGCTGGAACTTGGTCCAAGCTCTAGTTCCGAAAAATGTGTCCATACAATCTATACAACTGCAAATACACTGACTAAACATTACCTCTCGTGCTGTTATTTTAGTGCGTTTATGCTAGCCGTTACTCATTGCTTGATATTCGTACACCCTTATCTTCGACGAAAAAGCATTCTAGATTACATGTATAATATAATACAAATGTAAGCAGTGTAACTGGTGAACTTGAAAAATTTACGCTTACTAGGAAGCTAGAGACCAAAATCAACATGGAGAAATCCGATGGTGTCGGTTTAATACAATATTTCTAAGATATATGATACAGAATAATAAATCATTCTCCCGAAATAATAATTCTTGTTTATAAAAATAACAGTCGGTTTCAAACTTTTAACTTTAGAATGTTATTTGGCCAATACACACATGCGAGAACACTATAAGTGTTAGAAAAAATACTGTATAAAATCTATATAACATATTCATTATATTATAAAATGTTATTATAATATTATATTACATTTATATTATTATATTATTATACAAATATGAAAGACATATTACAAGTATATATTATACATTTCTTATTATATACCTATACGTATTTATCTAAAGGTCTGTGTCGACGATGCTAAAAACTTGGTCCAAGTTCTAGTACCGAGAAATGTGTAGCCAATCAACTTTTAGCTATTCCATAAAAGTTGCAAGTTGATTGGCTACACATTTCCCGGTACTAGAACTTGGGCCAAGTTTTAACATTGTGGACACAGGGCTTAAGATATCATGATATATATACACATAATTTTTAACACTTATAATATACGTAATCATAAATAATGTTCAAATGATCATTACATTACAAGAGAATATACGTCAATTTCTTGAATTTAAAAATCTTTCCGTGTCTCATACGATATAATACCAATCATATCATTGTGAATTCCTACTTTGATACGCAGACAACTCGGTTTCATATTGAAGATTTATCGCGAGCTACATAGATCGCGCGATTAATATATCTCGCAAAAATATAATTAATCTTATACCATCGCGTTTAATATTATATAAAATTTTAAGTAATTCCTACCTTTGCATATCTACTTGTTCAACTTGAACATTCGATAAACGCTAGATAACATAGATAATTGATAATGTCACATCTTACATTATACTTGCTAACAATAAGTGGACATACTTTCGGCAACAAAACAAATTGCATAAATTGTTATCTATTTTATTACGAGCCACTTAAAAATATATGCTAAAATTTGCACAAATTTATATTTATTAAGTTCTGCATTTTTTACTTTTACACTGTGATTGGACCGTCTCAAAAGACGTATATCGATTATTGAATAATTTCATGTACAAATTTTATTAAGTCTGTTCAGTTGTTGGTCCACCTTGTGCTATTTATATTGCCTTTGTAATTTATTGTTAGTCCTAACATGAACCTCTACATCTTACGGAGAGCTCACTTCTTTATTTGATGACGGAACCATGTGAGTTCTTGAGTTGTTCGGTCTCCATTTTTGAATTTTTCTGCTCTTTACCCTTTGACTATCTACCAATTTTATCGTTTGACTTTTCACCCTTCTTTCAGTTTGACTCATGAATTTGCTGATACAAGCTCATGCACTTCTCATGTTTTCCGACAACAACCGTTTCGATATTAAATATTGTTACTTGATAAGGACCTGGAATTAGGTCGAAACGTCGTAAATAAATTATTGGAACTTTGCCAGTCTGGTCGACTACAAGCTTTGCAGTTTTGTTCATGTACAAAATTATGCAGTATACGAGGACAGAAACATGCGGAAAAAATCATAAAAAATAATGAATAAAGTAGTCGCCTGACGCATAATGGAAAGAGAATTGATTAGATAAAGGTTTAAACGTTAGATAACAAGTATTTAGCAACGCGCAAAGTTTCGTAAATTTTAACGTTCAAAATCGCAGATGCCTTTCTTATATTTAGATGAAATTTACGTCCAGTGTATACACGGCGATGCAAGATGTCAATTTTATTTTCGTCGCTTCGTAATACCACATATAAAATTATGCAATACCGTAATGAGGAAAAAAACGAACAGAAAAAGATCATAAAAAATAATGAACGGCAGTTGCGTGAAGC